AAAAGCGGGGTTCGATCCCCGGCCGCGTCATACCAAAAGACGTTTAAAGATGGTACTTGTTGTTACCCTGTCTGGCGCTCGTCATTAAGGGGCTAAAACAAGGACTGGTCGGCTCGGAGTCAGTATACTGTGTCTGAGTTGGGTATTCATGTTAAACTGCGGCATGGTATCTCAGTGTGATAGCACTATAAATCGGCATCAGTCCGGACTAGTACAAGCAGCCACACAAACACACACGTACATGCACGTCGCTATATAAGTGCAATAATCTTGGACGCGACGTTAAACCTCATTTCACCTCACCTCAAAGTGGGTTAAGCCCAACTCATCATCATCATCATCATCTTCAAAGTGGGATTAAGCCCGCCTCATCATCATCATCATCATCATCATCTTCAAAGTGGGATTAAGCCGAACTCATCATCATCATCACCACCACCTAATCCACCTAGGCCTTAATTAGATGCAGTAAGAACGGGTCGCAATCTTGGTCGCTGTCGGTCGTTGTGCAGAATAGCGTCCCTTAGCCATGCATGGATCCGCTGGTTGTGAATCATGGTCAGTCAGCATCATAACCTTGCTAGTTAGTTTCACCAACGAGATAAACGTCTACAACCTGCGTCATTTAGACATTAATCTCACATGCCATCATATGACTGAAATAATGTTGAAAGCGGCCTTAAATCCATGTCACTTGCTTAGTCTATCCGGCAGCGGTCCCGTGAAGATCTAGGTATAGAACAGGTCTTAAGCAACCCAGCGACTTGGTTGATGCATGTCATCGTATCCTACTTGGTTGCGTAGGATGGGTGACGAAATCTCCTTCTTCTCTGAGGAAGCTGAACTTTTTGGATGGCATTTATGAGTCTCCCTGTGACAACATCATATCTTGTTCAAATCCTTTAAAGTTAGTGCTAATGTTTTAGTCCCGAGTGTGAATGCAGAACATAACTGACTACCAATGGTGACATCAGCTTCAGTTGTTGACCTTGGTGGGTAAGCTACAGTGTCGTGGTGTTCCTTTACTAACCACTCTAAACTATTAAACCACGTTTCACTACTCAGAACCGCTAAGAATCCTCCTTGACTACCTTAAACGCCACTCTTCAGTACTTCAAAATCCACTTTTCACTACTTAGAACCTGGATTCACTACTTCAAACACTATGATGATTCCGTTCGCTATGGCCTCGCAGCAGGTCACAGGTGGGTGGTCACCATAGCACGACAGAACTCGACGCCCATCAGACTCTACCCTCTTTCACAAGTCGCCCTAACAGCACTGGACGCCTATCAGTGACCACTCACTCTCACAGGTCACCCAGACAGCACTGGACGTCCATCGGTGACCACTCACTCTCACACGTCGCCCTTACAGCACTGGACGCCTATCAGTGACCACTCACTCTCACAGGTCATCCAGACAGCACTGGACATCCATCAGTGACCACTCACTCTCACAGGTCATCCAGACAGCACTGGACGTCCATCGGTGACCACTCACTCTCACAGGTCACCCAGACAGCACTGGACGTCCATCAGTGACCACTCACTCTCACGGGTCATCCAGACAGCACTGGAACACCACTGATGACCACCCACTCTCACAGGTCACCCAGACAGCACTGGAACACCACTGGTGACCACTCACTCTCACAGTTCACCCAGACAGCACTGGACGTCCATCGGTGACCACTCACTCTCACAGGTCACCCAGACAGCACTGGACGTCCATCAGTGACCACCCAATCTCACAGGTCACCCAGACAACACAGGAACACCACTGGTGACCACCCACTCTCACAGGTCACCAGACAACGCTGGACGTCCATCGTTGACCACCCAATCTCACAGGTCACCAGACAACGCTGGACGTTTATCGGTGACCACCCACTCTCACAGGTCATCCAGACAACACAGGACGCTATCAGTGAACACCCACTCTCACAGGTCATCCAGACAACACAGGACGCCTATCAGTGACCACCCAATCTCACAGGTCATCCAGACAACACAGGACGCCTATCAGTGACCACTCACTCTCACAGGTCATCCAGACAGCACTGGACGTCCATCAGTGACCACCCACCCTCACAGGTCACCCAGACAACACAGGACGCCCATCAGTGACCACCCACCCTCACAGGTTACCCAGACAACACAGGACGCCCATCAGTGACCACCCACCCTCACAGGTCACCAGACAACGCTGGACGTTTATCGGTGACCACCCACTCTCACAGGTCATCCAGACAACACAGGACGCTATCAGTGACCACCCACCCTCACAGGTCACCCAGACAACACAGGACGCCCATCAGTGACCACCCACTCTCACAGGTCACCAGACAACGCTGGACGCCCATCAGTGACCACTCACTCTCACAGGTCACCCAGACAACGCAGGACGCCCATCAGTGACCACCCACTCTCACAGGTCACCCAGACAACACAGGACGCCCATCAGTGACCACCCACTCTCACAGGTCACCAGACAACGCTGGACGCCCATCGGTGACCACCCACTCTCACAAGTCACCCAGATCCATCAGTGTCCATTTGGACCGTGTACAATATTAAGGTTATAACAAAATAAGGAAATGAGCAAAATCTTTGGTTTTGGCTACGAACAGCATTGAGATTGTAAAATATACATTGCTTAAAACATCGAGGTTGTGAACTTTAACATTGCTTGAATAACAAGACCTAAACGCATCTAGTCACAACTAAATTTGGACCGAACAACAATGAAATGTTCAACTAGAGTGAGTGAGTGAGTACGGTTTTACGCCACTTTTAGCAATATTCCAGCAATATCACGGCGGGGGATACCAGAAATGGGCGTCACACATTGTACCCATGTCGGGAATCGAACCCGGGTCTTCGGCGTAACGAGCGAACGCTTTGTCCCTATTATTGACCAATCAGATTCAACCTCTCATATCACTTGCAATTGCTGCAAATAAAACGGCGTCACCCAGTGAAGACGATCTGATTGATAATCAAGATCTATTTGTCATGAACCGGATCTTACTTCGCGAAGTGCATCAAATCACGTGAACACCTTGATTAAAAACATGAAAAGATTTGCAAAATATCTGTTGACGATAAGTTGACGGTACACATGCCTCGTAAGTCATGCAATCAACCGATATCTCCACGCGGCTTACGAACCGGATGTCGATTTCCTTACGCGACATTGATTGGACAATGCACAGACTCGTTAGTCCAGCCAAAATATAACTCAAACTTCCAGCCGAGTTCGCTAAGGGTGGGGCCTTGACTTTTACAGTCAATTTACACCCTTACCTCGGAAAGACGGGGTCGAACAACATTGCGGTCTCTTGTAGCATAAACAACACGACATTGTGTGCATAACTACATATATGAGGTGAGGTGAAATGGGGTTTAACGTCGCGTCCAAGATTATTGCACTTATATAGCGACGTGCATGTACGTGTGTGTGTGGCTGCTTGAACTAGTCCGGACTGATGCCGATTTATAGTGCTAGCCCACTGAGATACCATGCCGCAGTTTAACATGAATACCCCACTCAGACACAGTATACTGACTCCGAGCCGACCAGTCCTTGTTTTAGCCCCTTAATGCCGAGCGCCAGACAGGGTAACAACAAGTACCATCTTTTAACGTCTTTTGGTATGACGCGGCCAGGGATTGAACCCCGGACCTTCCGATCTCCGGGCGGACGCTCTACCACAAGACCACGGAGGCGGTTACTACAGATATGAACACCCATGACTCTAGTGCTTACACAATGTCGACCGTGAAGATTCCGGGATAGAATTGGTCTTCAGCAACCCATAAGGCGACTATGCTTGTCGTAAAAAGCGACTAACGGGATCGGGTGGTCAGGCTCGCTGACTTGGTTGATACATGTCATCGATCCCAATTGCGTGGATCGATGCTCATGATGTCAATCACTGGATTGTCTGGTCCAGACTCGCTTATTTTACAGACCGCCGTCATATGGCTGGAATATTGCAGAGTGCAGCGTTAAACAACAAACAAGCAAAAAAGCTTACACAATTTCGATCGAACATCTCAGGAAAGTAGACGCCCTCAGTCTCACAAGACACGTTTATCGCCGTTTTTACCACAACATATAAAATAAATCATCGTCTCAGTCATGCTAGACAAAAAAAATATATTTTGTCTCGACGTTTTTTGGCAAACTGTAACCTTCGTGTTGCACCTTGAAATTATTTCTCATCCTGCACCCCACACCTGGCTTGGCACGCCACCGTAGACCTCCACATCAAAGGAAGCACATCGCCTCCGTCTACCCCAAGACAGAGGGGGCACGAAGTGGATGATAAAACGAGAGAACTTTGATGTTGAACACAGCACTTAATGTCGATTGTCTTTGTGCATGCTATATCGCTCTCAGCCAGGTGGCTTCGTAATTAAACTGTTTATAATGAGTGTTTTCTGTTGGAGTCGTGGTCGCCATATTGAAGAAACGTGGTAACTCGAAGACTGTTTAATTTTGATTTCTTGATGGAAACAGTAGGCTTGTTTAAAGGCTGGATAGGACATCTTCAAAGCGATGCCAATGGCATACATCCTTGCTTGTCAAAACATTGCTTCCATTAACATAAACTATACACGCCAAAGAATAACTTAAAAGACCTCTCCTGTACCGGCGTTTTGAAGCAATACGCGGGTTCAAGATGTGTGTATTTACCGTTATTTGATTTGTTTACTTCGATTGAACTCCTCGGTGAAAAGAAACTGAAAAATATCTCCAGACATATGATGCAAAGAATGCGAGTTTTGTTGGAAACCTTTGAAGCGCCCCTGGCGATGAACCAACGACCAACAGGTGTCGCTGCTCTTTGACTCTCAGCGCCACCTGGCGGGACTCAACGTATGCTTACAGCCATTAGTACCTGGTTTGAGATTATACAATCATGCCATGTAAATTGAATAATGAATGGGTTTATAATCATCACATTAATAACAAGTCGTGTTCTGTTCCAGGTATTATATAAGAAAATCGCACGGAAGCTCAAAGTGGATTGTATTTTTAGAAGGTGAGTGGTTTGCGATTGACGTAAATTAAGAAAGTACACTTTTTCGGGAGAATCTTATTTACGGACTAAATGAACCCTAATGCTCTCAATATCTATATTTATACATAGCATTTTTATTTTTAAAAAGCCCAAAGTAACTACGATGTCAAAAAAAGTCTTTATATGCGGCATCAAGCAATTACGAATAATTTTTTTTATAGAGTTAGTTATTTTGTTTAATGGGGAGCCGTAACCCCATACCCAACAAACCCATGAAGATAATAGATCCGGGTTAGAATAGGTCTTCAGCAAGCCATGCTTGCCGTAAAAGGCGACTTTGCTTGTCGTAAGAGGCGACTAACGGGATCGGGTTGTCAGGCTCGCTGACTTGGTTGATACATGTCATCGTATTCCAACTGCGTGGATCGATGCTCATGCTGTCAATCACTGGATTGTCTGGTCCAGACTCGATTATTTACAGACCGCCGTCATATAGCCGGAATATTGCTGAGTGCGGCTTTAAACAACAAACAAACCTACACGAAGATAATACTCGGCCTCGACCCTTTCTAGGAAAACGTGTCAAATATTAAGCGAACAACTATTCAGTTATAAAGCGGCCAATAACAAAGAAACAACTTCAAGTACAAGGTATTTATCTAAATCATCGGGATATTATTTAAGAATGAGAGTGATGTCCTAAGTGATGCAGGTCTCAAACGTTTACCACTTCGGAGGAACCCACGCCCATAGCATGGTGCTGACAATCATTATCAGGACGAATCTCATTCCAACTATCAAGTCAAAATTAATTTAAAACAAACAATTGGAAATGTAGGTCAAATTTTAAATACATACTCAACAGAACGGGTTGGGATCGTGAATATATTTTGGGATATTTTTATGAAATTGTGTGTATTACAAAAACATGTCTTCAAAAATATTCACGATCCCTAACTTATTTTGTTTAGTATAGAATAATGGTATGACAGCATTATGGCTCTGGAATATCCACTTATGAATCGGAGGTGCTCTTTTCAATACATGTACAAGCGCTTCTTGAATATTAAATCACAGTGCATTATTATGCAGCTAGGTGCTGTAGGCGGTCTAAGTCAACTGACCGAGTAGTCGTATTTAAGGTTGGCCTGTATTCTCCATTTTGTCGCTATCTGAAGCGAGAAAAAGATCTAAGGTAAAGTGCGATCTTCTTATTAACTCAGTGTGGGAGCTGTGGCTTATCCCTCTCATAATACTTCTTTTGATGTCGGTGGTTTCTGCAAAGGAGCACCACTATCAATTAGCCAAGATTAGTGGATTAATAAACAGCTTTTGTAACACGAAGGCAGCTTTGAAGCTATCACGAATATTGAATTTGACAGTAAGTTCTCCGAGCAACTTGCGTAGCGCCCCACAGCCCACGAGTCGGCGCCTTTTGATGTGGATAATCCCAAATTACCGTGTACTGGAAACGAATATCTTCAAAGAATGTCTTTACTCTGCCAGGTGGATGGTACTGCTTCGACAGGACGAGCTGTGCAGAGAGATACACAGTCATGCGCGACGTCATGAGCTCCAGAAATTGGCCTCGACATCGGAAAGGTGAGCTGACGTTGAGATTGTAGGTCAGATTCAAATATCGTTGATCTCCGGAGGCTTTGCTCAAGATCGTTACTTTTGTTCAAGATCGTTACTTTCCGTGAAGTTTCGAAATGCTACGCTGCAGTGAGAAACGCATCCTACCCAGGGAACCAGTCTGTGTTCGTGACCATTCGTGTCATTCCGTGACAAACCGAGAACTCTCGCCCAGGTTACGAAAAAGGGCGTTTGGTGACGAATGTGTGATGCAAAAGTTGAAGCTGACCCTGCTGTTTGAGGTGTAGAATAGGTCTTCAGCAACCCATGCTTGCCGTAAAAGGCGACTACGCTTGTTGTAAGAGGCAACAAACGGGATCGGGTGGTCAGACTCGCTGACTTGGTTTATGCATGTCATCGTATCGCAATTGCGTGGATCGATGCTCATGATGTCAATCACTGGATTATCTGGTCCAGACTCGATTATTTACACCTTACTCCACTGACCACCTTACTCCACCGGCCACCATACCCAAACCGGCCACCTTACTCCACCGCCATCTTACTCCGCCAACCACCTTACCCCCACCTGGCCACCTTACTCCACCGGCCACCTTACCCAACCGACCACCTTACCCTACCGGCCACCTTACCCCATCTGGCCGCCTTACTCCACCGGTCACCTTACCCAACCGACCACCTTACCCCAACCGACAACCTTACCCCACCTGGCCACCTTACCGGACCGGCCACATTAACCCACCTACCACCTTACCCCACCGGCCTCCTTACCCCACCTGGCCACCTTATGCCACTGCCACCTTACCCCAACCGACAACCTTGCCCCCAACCGACCACCTTACCCCACCTGGCCACCTCACCCCACCGACCACCTTACCCCAACCGACCACCTTACCCCACCTGGCCACCTTACCAGACCGGCCACATTAACCCACCTACCACCTTACCCCAACCGACCACCTTACCCCACCGACCACCTTACCCCAACCGACCACCTTACCCCACCTGGTCACCTTACCCCACCTGGCCACCTTACCCCACCGACCACCTTACCCAAACCGACCACCTTACCCCACCTGGCCACCTTACCCCACCGACCACCTTACCCCAACCGGCCACCTTACCCCACCGACCACCTTACCCCACCGACCACCTTACCCCAACCGACCACCTTACCCCACCTGGCCACCTTACCCCACCGACCACCTTACCCCAACCGGCCACCTTACCCCACCTGGCCACCTTACCCCACCTACTACCTTACCCCAACCGGCCACCTTACCCCACCTGGCCACATTACCCCACCGACCACCTTACCCCAACCGGCCACCTTACCCCACCTGGCCACCTTACCCCACCTACTACCTTACTCCACTCGGATACCTTACCCCACCCGGCCACCTTACCCCACCCGGCCACCTTAACCCACCCGGCGACTTAACTCCACTCGAATACCTTACCCCACCCCAACAACCACCTTACTCCGCTCGGATACCTTACCCCACCCGGCTACCTTACCCCAACGACCACCTTACCCCAACGACCACCTTACTCCACCCGGTGATGTAGCTGTAATGTTTCTCGCCACGGCGTTTAATAACATTCATGTGGCATGATTACCAACGAAGTGTAAACGGACTTCAACGATTGTTCAAATGAATAAGGGGCGGTCGGGTAGCCTAGTGGTTAAAGCGTTCGCTCGTCACGCCAAAGACCCGGGTTCGATTCCCGACATGGGTACAATGTGTGAAGCCCATTTCTGGTGTCCCCCGCCGTGATATTGCTGGAATATTGCTAAAAGCGGCGTAAAACCATACTCACCATCAAATGAATAATGAATTCAACCCGTCGATATCATTTTTTTATGATCACGTGATCATGAAACAGGTTCAACAACAAAGATCTGGAAATAAACGTTAGAAAAAAAGTTATAGCTGTATTCATATGTTTTAAATAATAGAAAACATACTCATTTATTCTTCAAAAGATTAATCGTGCTTTTTATACTTTCCCGACAAAAACTGAGGCCGGTTAAGAAGGTTCGGAATGCAAAAAGCGGGCTAAGGCGCATGTCGAGGCCGAAAGTATCGCTTTGATGATCTGAACTGTTTACCTCATACTCCCGACTGTTATGACAGCCCCTACCGTTACTCTTTTCTTTTCCCAAATAAGAGAGGTCAAGTTGCATGTGGCAAGCCTCCTCCCATCGTATCAGACATATATCAGCCGACACTTTCTGAATTCAAAAGCGCTCTGAACATGTTTCAAACATCCCCACCGACTTTTTATCTCGGTATCTTCCGCCACACGGACCGAGGTTTCAGAGGTCATTTCGGGTAGCTCTGATGTGCTGTGCGGAGTGCGTAATACACGTCGTCGCGTGGAGACGTGGTTATTCTGTCAGCAGACGACTTGTGTTTAAAAGAAGGGGCGGCAGTAAACATAAGATCGTATTAACTGACACGCGAGTCTTGTTTACAAACATGCAAATTATTTGAGCTCAGTGAGCAACATTAAACCCAAATAAACTCTAATCTGTCTGCGAGTGGCCTGCCCTTTGGAACCTGAGCGCGGGAAATTCAGAATTATGTCGTCTGTCGTAATAGATAAATATGAATAGTTTATTCAACTTCATCGTGAATCGATAGCCGTTCGTGATATGGGTGACGTCTGAGAAAAATTTCGTAGTTTGTTTGTCATGTGGAAAAAAAAATAGAGATAAACAACGTTATTGACAATGACGTTCCTTGATGTTAAGCTTAGAACTGACACTCCGTGTATGCTGCACGTGCGATATGCCCGGATGTATGAGTCACGTGACAAACATACAAGGATCCGCCGTTACCTAAAAAGACTCCATTTTTGTTTTCTATGATACAATATATACATGATATAATGGTATATGAAGGTATATCATGCGAACATGTTGCCAAATAAGGATACGAATTGAGACTGGGTTTATTTCTGGGTAGGGAGCGTGGGGCAGCTCAGGTCACTACGTCATGCATGTCATGCTCATGCTGTCGACCACTGATTTGTCTGACCCATAAAGCAGCAATATGGATGAATACGGCGTAACATTTACTCACTTGCCCTTTAAACAATTTTCTTATGTAAAATGTTGAGAGATTAGTTTGTCCATTTAGGGCATTACCAGGCAGTATTGGAGTAAATCCTTATAATATTTGTTTCAGCGTCAGGAATATTGTCATGGGACCCGGAAGAAAATCCATTTTACTTTCACGCAAACATGGTGTAAGTATTAATTTGAAATATAAACGGTTCATTAGAATTCCAGGCCTAGAGGTTAGATCCAGGTAAGTGGGATTTTATGAACAACAAAATTGTTGAAAAGAAAATGTCTGCCACAAAATGTATTGTTGCAAAATGGTCATTAAAAACGTTTTAGGATCATATTTATATTTAAAACAAAAATCTAACTTTTTTTCAGCTGTGGCTGAATAATATACAGTGTCAAAACAAAATCCCAGCTGTGGTAGCGGTAAGGTTGCGTTGTGGAATGAAGCACTGGGTCTCTAATCACAAAGTGCTACGAATGTCGTAACTCATATAAATTTACATAGCCCAGCGACAGTCGAAGTGATACGATCGCTTTGTGAAACCAGATCCCATATTCACAAAGTGACGTTAACACTACGACTGTTGTAGGGCTATGTCAAAATATATGAGTTACGACAGCACTCACATACACTTTGGGAGTGACGACGCTATTTCATTGCGATTTGTAAAAAAAGGTATGGCTAAGTGCAATTTCTAGACATTTCGTATGTGTTCAGAGCTCAAGTTCACAAGCCAGGCAGATCAATAATAAGAGCTACATTGTGTAGCTACATTGAGAACAACTTGTGGCCTGAGCCGAGGTTCACAAAGAAGTCTTAGCGTTACGACTGACGTAGCTCCAATACTGTATCAGAGTTGGGAACAGTACTGCAAAACATGAATTCAATACATTACATTTGATGCCACTTCCACGTGATCTCTCTAACATGCTGTGTGGTGTTCGTGTATTTGTTGATGTCTTGACCATACATATAAAGCTGCTTGGAGAACACGGCGTCATGGAGCTGTTGTGGCACCATCACTGCAGTCCTGTGTGTTCTGTTCCAGGATTGTACCGTATTGTTCCAGCGACTCCTGGAGTGGAGCCAGAAACGCATCGTCAAGAGGTATTTATATGTGCTTATTTAAGTCGAGATACCCTTTAATGCTGGGGCTGGATTCATGCAGATGCTAAAGGGTGGCCTGTGTCTCCACAGGTGATTTCACTTTCATGGGTTCCCTGATCCTGGAGGAGGTGGTGAAGGAGCTGCTCAAGAAGGGGCTGAGGAACGCAAAGAAGATGCTGGTGATGGGCAGCAGGTCAGTACTATACTGGGGAGGTCAGTACAATACTGGGAGCAGGTCAGTACTATACTGGGAGCAGGTCAGTACTATACTGGGAGCAGGTCAGTACCATACTGGGAGCAGGTCAGTACAATACTGGGAGCAGGTCAGTACTATACTGGGAACAGGTCAGTACAATACTGGGAGCAGGTCAGTACTATACTGGGAGCAGGTCAGTACAATACTGGGAGCAGGTCAGTACTATACTGGGAGCAGGTCAGTACAATACTGGGAGCAGGTCAGTACTATACTGGGAGCAGGTCAGTACAATACTGGGAGCAGGTCAGTACTATACTGGGAGCAGGTCAGTACAAATTTGCGGAGCAGGTCAGTACTATACTGGGAGCAGGTCAGTACAATACTGGGAGCAGGTCAGTACCATACTGGGAGCAGGTCAGTACTATACTGGGAGCAGGTCAGTACTATACTGGGAGCAGGTCAGTACAATACTGGGAGCAGGCCAGTACTATACTGGGAGCAGGTCAGTACAATACTGGGAGCAGGTCAGTACTATACTGGGAGCAGGTCAGTACCATACTGGGAGCAGGTCAGTACCATAATGGGAGCAGGTCAGTACTATACTGGGGAGGTCAGTACAATACTGGGAGCAGGTCAGTACAATACTGGGAGCAGGTCAGTACTATACTGGGAGCAGGTCAGTACAATACTGGGAGCAGGTCAGTACTATACTGGGAGCAGGTCAGTACAATACTGGGAGCAGGTCAGCACTATACTGGGAGCAGGTCAGTACTATACTGGGGAGGTCAGTACAATACTGGGAGCAGGTCAGCACTATACTGGGAGCAGGTCAGTACCATAATGGGAGCAGGTCAGTACTATACTGGGAGCAGGTCAGTACTATACTGGGGAGGTCAGTACCATACTGGGAGCAGGTCGGTACTATACTGGGAGGTCAGTACAATACTGGGTAGGTAGTCATTACAATACTGGGAGCAGGTTGGTACAATACTGGGGAGGTGGTCAGTACAACAATGGGAGCAGGTCAGAACAATACTGGGGAGGTAGTCAGTACAATACTGGGGAGGTGGTAAGTACAATACATGGAGCAGGTCAGTACAATACTTGGAGCAGGTCAGTATAATACTGGGAGCAGGTCAGTACAATACTGGGGAGGTAGTCAGTACAATACTGGGGAGGTGGTAAGTACAATAAATGGAGCAGGTCAGTACAATATTGGGAGCAGGTCAGTACAATACTGGGGAGGTCAGTACAATAATGGGGAGGTCAGTACAATAATGGGGAGGGGAGTTGTCAGTACAATACTGGGGAGGTCAGTACAATACTGGGGAGGGGAGCAGGTCAGTACAATACTGGGGACGGGAGTGGTCAGTACAATACTGGGGAGGTCAGTACAATACTGGGGAGGGGAGCAGGTCAGTACAATACTGGGGAGGGGAGTGGTCAGTACTTGATTGGGTGGGGTGAAAACAGATAAATATAAGTGTAGGGAGGGGACAGGTCAGTATAGGTCACGAGTCTCCTGTACGTTTATTAAGATCCGACTGAAATAGGAATTTGGTGGTCACAATGTGTAGCCATGTATAATGCACGACTTGATGCTCATGCTGTCAACCAGTTGTTTATCTGGCCGATTATTTGCAGGATTGTGTAACATTGCTGTAACATTGCTGTCTGTAGTGTGAAACAATATTCACACACTCACTAATCACATGTGGATTTCCTGACAGCGCTGGGGGCACGGGAGTTTTGATCAACCTGGATCGCATAGCGAAGGTGGTGAAGGACCGCGCCCCGGGGGTGGAGGTGAGGGGTGTCGTGGACGCAGGGTGGTTCCTGGACAACGAGCCCTACAAAGAGAGGCATTGTCGGGACGCCTACACATGCTCCCCAAAAGACGGCATCAAGAAGGGAATCGAGTGAGTGACATGGACAAAGGGAGATAACTCATAGTTAATCATGTCTGTCATAAAATGTGTTTTCTAAATTATTTTAGTTTATTTTCTTGTCGAGTTAAACATCATGAATTATCATATCTTTTCAAAAGTGATTTCCAGATGTTGTATCAAAACAGTTTAAATGTTCTTGGCAATCTTAAAACTTAAAACGGATTTTTCAGAGCTATGTTAGGCGGTCGGGTAGCCTGGTGGTTAAAGCGTTCGCTCGTCACGCCGAAGACCCGGGTTCGATTCCCGACATGGGAACAATGTGTGAAGCCCATTTGTGGTGTCCCCCGTCGTGATATTGCTGGAATATTGCTAAAAGCGGCGTTAAACCATACTTACTCACTCAGAGCTATGGTTCTTGAGTGTAGTCATAAGTTGTCTCCCTTGTATTGTTCAAAATATTCAAAGGTCGTGAGTTTATTCTTCAATTCTAGTAGCCTTAATAGACTAAGTGAAGTCATGCGTATATACTCCTGAAAATCAGCAAAGAATCGCCATTCTATGTTATCACATCACATCACAATCATATCTTCAGTGACATCATATAATAATATTGATCTTGGACATCAAAGGCTATCTCAATATTATTATTTGGTCGATTTGTGTTTGGAAGTGGGGTCTAAGGTTTCTCTAAATAATCATAATCATCACCCAAGGTTTCTCTAAATAATCATCATCATCATCATCATCATCCACATTCCTGTATTAACTTCCTATTTTCCCATATGCAGGCAAATTGCGTTCTCAGCTCCTTTGGGAGTAAACGACATGAACTGGTGTCATTTCAGATACTGGCAACCCCGTCTACCGGAGGACTGCATGGCCAGACACCCTTCTGAGGTATGGCGGTGCTACTTCGGCCATAGGATATATCCTTCATTGAAAAGTAAGCCTGTCCCCCGACGTTGATTTACCCTTCCCAAATGGTTTGTATTGCCAATACAGAGGTTTTTCTATTTTTATTAGGTATTAAGTTTACAACTTTTGTGATAGTTTTAAGAATCCCATACAAACCAGTTTCTTATGTGGGTGCACTGGCAGAGTTATGTCCCTTAGATGTGCCAGAACCCAATGATTTTGGACTTGAATCCCACTGTACCCCTCTAAGTGGTTAACGGCCTGCATCACTTCGGGCTTACCTCCAACATCAAGCTGTCAACACCGTCATATATCTGAAATACTTTTCAAAGCGGTGTTAAACTCACAATATCTTATACACAAATTGCAGTGTGTATTTTATTGGTGCTTCAATGCTGGTCGAGGTGAAATTGGGTTGAATGTGTGTGTGTGTGTGTGTGTGTGTGTGTGTGTGCGTGCGTGCGTGCGTGCGTGCGTGCGTGCGTGCGTGCGTGCGTGCGTGCGTGCGTGTTTTTCATGCTCAGTACCATCACGTGTCGCGGCAGAGAAGTGCCTCTTTTGTTAAATAGTTATTGAATAATAAAGATAATATTTCAACTCTCTACATTAAATAATCATGTATCCGCCTCTGACCTAAACGATCGGTAAAAGACAGCTGACTTTCATACAAGACATCCCTAATTCAGTGATGCGTCGAGAAAACAGTGCATGCAATGCATGATGAGAATAACTGACGACCTACGAGGTATTACCGTTCATCTTCCCGAGGGAAGGAAAAACTGTAACTCCGAGTTTTGAGTTGGTTCTTCTCTTTCTTACCCAGAACCAAATTACCAAAGGCCTCAGGATCTCAGAAGCATGTCATCGATCCCAATTGCGTGGATCAATGCTCATGATATCAATCACTGGATTGTCTGGTCAAGACTCGAATATTTGCAGACCGCCGTCATTTAGCTGGAATATTGCTGAGTGCGGCGTAAAACAACCAACCAACCAACATCAAGATCTCATCCCCATCCCCACCCACCAGCTGTAACCCAAAACAAATGTATCCTTACGCAACAATAAACAAATCACGGCACATCGGACTTTGTAAACTAGCTCGCTTTTACCATTAAAATTTAGTATAAATGTATCACTCACACTTAAAATGCAAAACGTGAGGAAAGTGTTGTTTCATTTAATTCGTTCAATTTAACAAGTGCAAGTTGCAATTTAAAACATTTTTAAGTCCACATTGGCGAGTGCGGGAGTATCAGTTGGAGTGGGTCCCACGTGTTGTTTCGAACATTACCAAGTTGATGCCAGACATGCATTCCCCCAATGGATGATGGAAAGATGGATGTATATGCCATATTTAAGAATTTGCATTTATTTATTCGAAATCAGACACCAGAATTATGCGACGTCTCATTTCATATCAGCACGGGATGGTAGAGTGAAAGCTGAACGAATGAAAAGTAGTACCGGCGACCAATGAAAAGCCGAGTTATTTATAGAAAAAATTGTAACTGCCAAGAGCATTGCAGAACATTTAATATCCTCTATCCAGAGACCATATAATATCTCTTATATGGTCTCTGCTCTATCCGGCTCCCCTCAGGTATAAGACTATACATATTATCATCTTCGTTCCCGCATCTCTCCGACAGCGCCAGTTTTCATCATCCAGAACCTCTACGACGCAGCCCAGATCAAGGTGGATAATGTATTCGAGGACAAAGGTCGGGGGTCAGATCTCTCCAATGACCAATGGATGTACCTGTTACAACTGGGCGAAGAAATCAAGGACACGCTCGTGAATGCATCGTACGTAATCTGAATAAACAGGCATGCAGGGCAACCGTCAGTTAATCCCAACAGGAAAACTAGGTGTCTAAAAGCACTGGTGATTTCTTAGATATAGGAGTTCCCTAGGTAATTTTATGTCATGACTGTAATATTCCTTATCACCGGAATGGCTTGATTTAACTTTAGAAGTACAGTAAACTACGGTTATAACGAACACGCTTATAACGCACTTACGGATATAACGAACTTACTTTTTTGGTCCCGACTATTTGCTGTAGTTATGCTGTATATATGCTTATAACGAACTACGGTTATAACGAACTAAAATTAGTAGTCCCTTTGAGTTCGTTATAACCGTACTATAATGAATCATCACACATGCAGCTGTCTGGCAAATGGCGAGGACAAGTTTATTAAACAAAATTCCCATTGACGCAAATCACCATATTCGGAAGTTTGGTTAACAGGGAAAGGCTGACCCTCTGTTGCCAATTGTTTCAGTGCCGTCTTTGCCCCAGCGTGTGTGTCGCATGACGTCCTCACCAAGAGGTAGGTAACAGGTGTGTCGAGGGGGAATACATCCTCTGTATCTCCAGGGCGAGCATTTTGGTAAAACTACACGAAGCCCTGGATCCACGCTTGTTCTCGCAATCTCAGATTACCCGCCCTTGATTTCCATTTGCCAATTTCATTGGCTAGCTACAAGGTCTAACTACCAACCATAATAGGAGTTACAAACCGGCCTCACAATTGGGTCAGCCAGTCCCATTGATTATGATCGAGTTTGCCAGAAATTCAACATTGAAAAACTGAGACACAGAAGAATCCGCAAAAATCTTGTTGATGGAAAGGATGTATTCATGTACAGGAAATCTGGCGATGGCTTTGTTTTTTCTAGGAAATACGAGTTACCTCCCTTACCCTTTCCCTGATGTCGACATTTGATTGGTCGGTATAATGTCAATGAAAAGGGCGGGTAATTTGCCATCGCAAGAACCACGGGAATGGCTCCAGAGGTTGGTGTTAATTTACCGAAATGCCAGTCCTGGGGATACAGAGGAAGGGGACATGCCTGGGGACGAATATGCATATCGTATTCAGTTAAAGTGTATTAAATATTATACCTTACGTTGCCGGCGTATTACCGAAAATCAATTGTAAAAGACAGTTTTATTCACTGCATGTTTGTTAACAAAGTATATCATCCACCATATGGATCAACATATAATGTATATGAGGTTTTAAATCATTTACCTATTATCATAGGGTGTAGCCTAGTGGTTAAAACGTTTGTTCGTCACACGGAAGGCAGGGGTTCGATTCCATTCTGTGTGTGTGTGTGTGCTTCTACTAGTCAGGTGAGGTGAGGTGAAATGGGGTTTAACGTCGCGTCCAAGATTATTGCACTTAGTGACGTGTGTGTGTTTGTGTGGCTGCTTGTACTAGTCCGGACTGATGCCGATTTCTAGTGCACTTTCTAGCTCACTGAGATACCATGCCGCAGTTGAACATGAATACCCCACTCAGACACAGTATACTGACTCCGAGCCGACCAGTCCTTGTTTTAGCCCCTTAATGCCGAGCGCCAGACAGGGTAACAACAAGTACCATCTTTTAACGTCTTTTGGTATGACGCGGTCGGGGATCGAACCCCGGACCTTCCTATCTCCGGGCGGACGCTCTACCACTAGACCACGGAGGCGGTCTGTACTAGTCAGGACTTACGCCGGTTTTATAGTGCCAGCCCACTGTGATACCATGGTGCATGGTCATCCCACTGAGATACAGTATACTGACTTCGGGCGACCAGTTCTTGTTTGATCCCCTCAATGCTGAACACCAGGCAGGGTAACAACAAGTACCATCTTTTAACGGTTTTTTTTTTGTAATACGCGGCCAGGGGACAGAACCACCGACCGTCCCTGTGCAGCAAACTTTCAATCCGCATCACCCCAGAGGCTTTCCCTGATGTTTTAGATTGCCAAAGTCTGTACATAACATCATGTTTGCAGTTAGCAGTGGTCACCATCATCGACCAATTCACATACATTTGACGAGTGGGTGAGTGAGTTTGGTTTAACGCCGCTTTTAACAGTATTACAGTTATATGGCGGCGTGTCAGCTTAATGTGGGAGGAAAGCCCGAAGTGAAGCAGGTCTCAGACGTTTACCACTTCGGTGAAACCCACGGGTATGGTGCTGACAAACCTAGAAACATAATCGGGGCGAACCGGGATTCGAACCCACTATCATAGGTTTCTGGCGTGCCCAAGGGACGCAACTATGTTGTCTGTTCCTGTTGTCTTTGAGTATATCTGATGTGGCTTGTTCTTGGAGGCAGAGATGGTAACATTATATAGGAACGTGTGTGACCCGTATGTTTCTCCGACAGTGAGTGGCACACGACCAGCATAGCAGGGGTGACCTTGGCTCAGTCCATTTTCTGCTGGGAGGAGAGCAACGCAGGCAAGCGACAATGTGGAAAATCTACCTCAAATAAAAGAAAGTAAGTCAACAGTGTTTAACCACCCATCAAATATGCTTAATATTATTGAATGAACATCGACTAGGACCGACGCTCAGAAAGGTTCGTGACAGATGAATGAGCAAAATAGAGTATGAGCCCTGTTAGTCACCTTGAAAATTTCAAACTTTAAAGTTACCGTAACTTTTGAAAATTTGGTTGGAAGATTATCGGACATGTACAAATGGTTGACAACGCTTTTTCCTCTCTTTCGCTTGCACAACTGGACATGTTCAAGTACACATGTTCAAGTACATAGGTTTGGTAACAGACTTCCTAGAAAATCTAACTAATATTTATAAACCAGGCTGTGACCCAGGATGACTGGTTACTTACTGTTTGTACTGCCTTTATCTAAATCCCGTTAGAAAATCAGCTTGGGTCAAAGACGTGCTGGAGTTAAATGTACGTTTCCTGGAATCCTCGAAAATCAGTATTTTTTCATATTTTTGCCTTAACGATACATATAGTGTCCAAAAACAAATAGACGATGAAATGGGGTCAAGTCGAATCCTCCTTTGTTTTCTTTTAACGTTTTTGCTCATTTGGTAAATTATGCATAAAAGGCGCTTTTCATACCTTGTTTGCAGTCAATATTTTGAATCATTGTATGTTTAGATGAAGGGGAAATTTCCCTTTAATATGCTTTCCCCTAATTCTTATTACTCTATAAACGCAAAAATACCTAAGGTCTTAACTTGTACCACGTATACGGTATTGGTAGCTAAGGTATTCTCACACAGGAGAAATCACATTTTAATTGCTCGTCTACGTATAATTGCAGTATCTGGTATATCGAAGGTGGTTGGATTGCAGCTAAAACATCATCACACCGATCCCTGTATTTCCTCTAAGCACCCACATTATATTTTTCGTCAACCTAATATGGTGCTTAGAACATTAAGTGTAAAAGGTCAAATATTATCTGGATTATCCAACGAAACAGGTTCCATTGGGTAAAGACAAAATATTGATGAATATAATTTGAGTGGCTCACAATGAGTGATAAGAGATGACGCCAGGCGTTCGCGAAAAGAGCAAACATGTCCTGCTCTACCGGTAGCACCCGCCACTCGCACAATTTGAATAAAAGGTTTGCGTTTGTTTGTTTGTTTGTTTGTTTGTTTGTTTGTTTGTTTGTTGACCGAAGTCATTACACGTACGTTTACCATTGTGTTGTCAGAATCAGTCTGATGGGAGTCAATGAAACTCCACTGGCGGACGAGCCTCCAGCTGGTCCTGTCTATCAGAGGCGTCGACAGAAGAACCGGAAGAAGAGGAGGCGAAACAAGAAGAAGAGGAGGAAGAATAGAGGTATGTGGGCTAACTGTTTGTGCATCGAATAGTAACCAACAGAGACCATAAAATTTATTTATTTTATGGCCTGTTAGCAGGTATTAGTGGGTGATTGTAACGCCGCTTAGAACAGATGGTTAGTTATACCACACGTCAGACCGATGTGAAAGGGAAGACGGTGTTGCAGACTAGTGTTAAAGCCGTCTAAGCACGACTATGGTGCCAAAGCGAAGAAGGAATCAGAGATTCGAACCACGGTCATAGGTTTCTGGCACGCTCAAGGGACGTAACTCTGCACGGTGACTTGCTAAGGCTTAGACAACTGGGCCACCAGTGCACAAAAATATGCCCCTGGTGCTAATCAATCGATGATGTAATTTGTAACTGTAAAACTGTTGTAATGTTGTACCTGGCACTATGCTTGTCGTAAGAGGCGACTAGTGAGTGAGTTGGGTTTAACGCCGCTTTTAACAGTATTCCAGTCATATCGCGGCGTGTCAGCTTAATGTGGGAGGAAAGCCCGAAGTGATGCAGGTCTCAGACGTTTACCACTTCGGTGAAATCCACGGGTATGGTGCTGACAAACCTAGAAACATAATCGGGGCGAACCAGGATTTGAACCCCCAATCATAGGTTTCTGACGTGCCTAAGGGACGCAACTCTGCACAGCGAATCGCGGCGCCTTAGACAACTGGGCCACCCGTGCCCCCGAAAGAGGCGACTAACTGGATCGGGTGGTCAGGCTCGCTGACTTGGTTGAAGCCTGTCATTGATCCCAATTGCGTGGATCGATGCTCATGATGTCAGTCACTGGATTGTCTGGTCCAGACTCGATTATTCACAGAGCGCCGCCATATAGCTGGAATATTGCTGAGTGCGACGTTAAACAACAAACACACAAAAATTGACTGACGACTGAAAAATATGAAATTTGAATTATCAGATTGAGATATTGGACGCAACCATTCGTTTTAAAGAACAAGTAGTGGAATGCTGCTCCAAGCGGCCTTAACACACCACGCGCTCACCTACTGGTTAACATATATGTATCAATTATCTTACCAGGTCGCCGTGGAAACAGAGACAAACGAGCAGCCAAGAGTAACTGCAAGTCCCATCTGATTGACAGTTGCCCGTGGCCCCATTGCAACTGTTCATGTCCCAAGTGCCCGTGGGCCACAATGGCGGAGGTGAGCCAGTACTTCATGAAGTCTCTGGCGGGTGTCATGGGGATCGACCCCAAAAAGATGCAGAACGTGAATTTGTGCGGATACTGAGACAGTCATCTGAAGTTCCGAACTCAGGCTTCTTGCTTTGACAATATGTCGTGCGGAAAGTAGCACACCACATTATACCTCCATATCTCGCGATATTTAGCGAGATCCAGTCCGGTCCAAGAGACTCGCTTTGGGGCACGACTCTATTAAGGCGATAGTTTTGGGAATGAAAGACTACATGACCCTACATGTTGACACTAACTATAATATGGCGAACGTGCCGTCATTCGTTTATATCGGGTCAAGTGGCACTGTGGAAAATAGTTTCAACAACCCGAGAGCCGCTTTAGAACGTGGAGCCAAGGGTTTGTGATGAGATGGATATTTCTGCCACATTGATGATGAGTTGCAATGCAATCTAAATCTAATTAAAATAACATCTTTTATTCCGATAAGACACCTCTATGCTTGAAGAATTTTGCCAAAGAAACTAGCCACAGAAGGCAAATATACCCCTACAGTACAATACTCGTGGATTTTAGATGCCATGGCCTTCGAAAATAACACGATGTATAAAAAAATATCTAATATTACGCGGCTTTCTATTTTTGCATTCGGATTTGCTCGACTCGATTCGTTTTCGAAATACAAAAATCAGATATCGTTGTCTGGACATATGGTACACGTGCGCACATATCGCTTAATCGTACCGAAAATTTAGAAGCAGTTCGCATGACTGGATTTCTATTGAGATGTGTTGAGGTCTTCTTGTAGAGGGTGTATCCTATCGGAGTAAACGATCTGATTTTAATGAGATTGAATGCAGCCTGTAATTCTCTTTGTATATAATGTCACGTGACATGGCATCCTTGTTGATTGGATATTGTGGTATTGTGATGTCACTCCGATTTTGAGTGTTGATTTGCTGGCTGCAGTGACGTCACTCCGATTTTGAGTGTTGATTAGCTGGCTGCAGTGACGTCATATGTTGTGTTCTGTTGCTCATGCGCGTTCATTGACTTATTACAGAACTCCGATCTACCTCCTGGGTATCACGATATTCACTACAGGCTTCAAGTTCTGCTATTGTTCGTATTGCGTTTTATGTTTTATTCGTTTTATTTCAAAGAGCTACTTTCAACATACCTTATCAAAATAGGTTCAAATACATATTGGAATAATCCAATCAATCAGTATGTATTTTTATGTTAAGTTTCGATATCTACCACGACAGTGAATATCATATAAACGGGCTATAGTGTGTTGGTTTCTTGAAAGTGTAGATCATTGTTTATAATGAGGAATATTTAAATGGGGGGTTCTTTAAACGAAGTATGAAGATGCTAAAATCACAACGTGCAGATTTTGTATTTTCGACAGAAGGAATGGAAAATACGAAAAGGGCAAAATTTCCATTTCAATTTAAGTATTTTTTGAAAAAATTAGTTGGGTAGGAAAAATGTGGGCGGTAGTTTTCAAGCTAAATTTTCATCATGTTTTTATTTTAGTTAATGAATTAACTTTATTTTAGTTAAATAATTTATTTATATTGACAGAAAATTGGTTTGGTTTGTTGTTTAAACATTTTACTTATTTTAGTCGGCAGCATAAAAAAAACACTTACAGTTTTTGTGTGTTTTTTTTCACATTTAATTTTTTGGGAATTGGCAGATTCGTAAACAAAGGTTTTAAAAGCGTCTGGTATAGCTACGTATTAGGCGAAGGAGGTGTATGGCGAAGTGTATGAGTTCGAAGCCTTTGCGAGAATCATACATCATTTGTTCATTAGAATGGTAAGTCAGTTTCGATATTTTGTCTTTATATACTGATGGAAATAGATAACTTAACGCCTACAAATATACACATTTGTTTGATGAGACATCAAATAAGTATTTAACCTGTAATCGACCGGAAATGGTATAACGATTTAAGGGTACTAAAGTCTCACTCTTGGAAGTTATCCGTTTGTGACGTCATCATACAGTAATGTTAACAACGGAGACACCTATTGTCATATTGTTCAACTGACCAATCAGCTATAGGAATGTGAAATACACGTGTGACATTAGGGTGAAGATGTTAAACACCAGGGTCTCCACAACCAAATGATACAGTAAACTACGGTTATAACGAACTAAAAGGGACCATTAATTTTAGTTCGTTATAACCGTAGTTCGTTATAGGCATATATACAGCCTATATACAGGAAATGGACGGGACCCAAAATCAGTTCGGTATATCCGTCAGTTCGGTATAAGCGTGTTCGTTATAAACGTAGTTTACTGTAGTTTAAATATATGGTAAAAATTGGACAACAAAACACTCTTAAATCCACAGGGATGTTAAACTGTTTCGAAACCGTTGACTTATTATCACTACAGTGATTAGACAATCTGTATTTGTCTGCATGATTCTCATCTCCAAACAACCTAAAATTATCGTCCTGCTCAAAATAAAAAAACAAAAAATGGTTTCGTGCCCGCTTATATATATCCTGAAAGGTTGGAAAAAGTAACGAATTCTCTGCATCGTTACAAAATACGCACAAGGATATTCGACGAAGGAAAGTGTGTGTTTCATCACTTAAAGGCTCTAACACCTTCGAATAAAGCACAAACGACATCGGACTGAACTAGTTTTGCACATTTCTTTGAACAACAGACAAATTTATTTATTGTGTTCACAACCGGACATAAGTTGTTTTTATTATCATGTTGTTTACATTCTTCCGGCCGCCCTCTCCCTCTGAAGCTGACCTGGTGATGATAAACACATGGAATAATACAGGGGGCCTATTCAGATGCATTTTAAATATTGACCCTAACAACTTAATGCCAATCGCAGGCTTAGTAATATGACCTTTATGTTCTCTCAGCTTTTAAAGAATAAGGTATGTTGGCTTTTTTGCTGGGAAAAGTTCCCTGGGTAAGAGAAAAAGCAACTCTTGTTCCGTTTTTTGTATTTTTTTCGTCAGGACATCACCAATTTGATGCATACCTCAAGTCCGTAGAAGGATGCTACACTTCCGTAAGATATACCACTCAAAAGAAGTTAAGGACTCCCGATTCTTTCATGTTAATACCGTTGATGTCATGGCATGACAGATCAGCTATAGTCGTATGAAAGAATCGGTCGGTCCTTAACTTCTTCTGAGTAGTATATGCTTCATCTTCATCTGTTCTGGAAAGGATACCCAGGTAAGGCTGCACATAGTTAGTTGTGCTGTATAATGCCTATTAATGGAGGTTGTTGGTAACCATGGCAACACGATGTCACGTGGGCAGGAGGCCCTGTATATTTCATGTTACGGGTATCGAGATTTACCAAGAGTTGTATTACATGTTTCATGTCAGTATTGGATTTTCTTGTAGCGCTTGTATGATTCTCTGCCGTTAAGCGTTGTTACCATGGTGATCTTGACAATTTTTGCGCCCTACCTTATAATCCATGTTTCTGTTTTGTCAGTCAAAAAATATCATCCATAGTTTTCGTTGATTCTGTATATTATGAAAAAATTATGAAGAACTATTTGAACTCTTTTTACGGAAATCATTTGGAATATTTGTCACATGGTCTATAAACTTGCTTGCAGAGGATTGCAACATAAAATAATGTTTCTCACCAGCGGGCGCTGCCGTACATGTTCAACACACTGCCTTTTGTTAGTCTTGGGGAGGTGCGACTTCTCGGAGTGTGCGAGAAAGTGCGTGATTTGCCCCGATATTTTGAGGGCATATTTTCTATTTTCGTGTTATGTGTTTCGAATTTTGTGTACATGCATATTACTGCATTTTATTTCAGTACATAAAGTCTGAGCTGTGAATAGTTTTTGTATGCAAAGTGCTATTTTAATCATTTATTTGACACTAACCATATGTAAGGTTATTGATTAAAAAAAGAAATGTTGATACTTGTCAATACCAAAGACGTATAAAACTGGGCGAGAATGTTTGCTTTGTTTTTCAATGAATGAGTGAGGTTGGTTTCACTTTCCCCCCTTTAGCAAATAGTCATGCCGTATCACGAGGGATACCAGTGAGTGAGTGAGTGAATTGCCTTTCACGCAGCTTTCAGCAATGTTCCAGCAATACCAGCAGGGACAACCAGAAAACGAATCCGGGATTCGAACCCGGGCCTTCAGCGTGACGAGCGAAGGCTTTAACCACTAGGCTACCCAACCGCCCCATGAGGACACCAAATGGGATCAACACAATATTATTTGGAATCGAACCTGAGTCTCCAGCGTGACGAGCTAACGCGTTAACCACTAAGCTACCCAACCATCCCTTGTTTTTCCTGTTTTTGGGGTGTTTTTTTTTTTGTGTAACGCCGCACTCAGCAATATTCCAGCTATATGACGGCGGTCTGTAAATAATCGAGTCTGGACCAGACAATCCAGTGATCAATATCATGAGCATCGATCCACGCAATTGGGATCGATGACATGCATCAACCAAGTCAGCGAGCCTGACCACCCGATCCCGTTAGTCGCCTCTTACGACAAGCATATTCGCCTTTTACAGCAAGCATGGGTTGCTGAAGACCTGTTCTACCCCGGATCTTCACGGGTCTTTTACAAAGATGTATTGTAGGTACGTAGAGACGCATTCGTGAAAGATGGTTGACATGCCTACTAGTGGCCGTCACAATAGTTTTGACACGAATATCTTGTCTTTGCACGCAGGGTACGTGCTCAGCATACACACCTGGCAGACACGTGCTCAGTAACAAAGTAGACATAATTTATGGATAGCAACATGTTTATTTTACTGTAATGGATGTCGTGTTAAAGCGCCACTCGCGAGAGGACTGCTAAACTGACGCAACTCTGCACAGCGAAATGTGGTGCCTAAAACAACTGAATCACTTGGGTTCCCAACGCCGCTCATACCGCACGTAAGAGTAACATAAGGTGCTGACAAACCAAAAAATTGGATTCAAACCCCGATCATAGGATCCTACCACTCCTGAGGGACGCAACTCTTCTCGTCACTGCTTACATATTCCGAACACTAGTAGTTGAAGTGATTCAGTCAAATAACTGTAAAAATATCAGTATGGTTTATGAATATGTATAGAATGTGTCAATCGCATTAAAATCAGATCTTAGTTCTCGCTATCGCTAAAGAAAGATCTGAGGACAACCCATTACGGGTCACGTCAGAACGACCTTTCATCCAACCAATCACAGCGTCGCTTACCAGATCATGAAAGTGACAGTCGGAATGTGTTTTCTGATCATGCAACCACGAAATATTTAACACGGGGTATTCCGAACGACAGTTGCGGGTTTTATGATTATATCCATACAATCTAGGCCATCAAAAACCCATTCCAGAATGTTCTTCTTATCAGTTTTTAAATGTTAATCGAGAATACGTCAAAATATGTTTCGAAACGTAGTGTTTGAAACTAGTGTCGTAAAGCTCGAGAAACCTGCCTTCTCATTGGCTAATGTCGATTTCTTGTCAGTCATTTCATTGGTCGGTCAAAATTAACGAAAGGTCGTCCTGGCGTGACCCCTAATGGGATGTCCTCAGATCTTTGTTTAGCGGTAGCGAAAACTAAGATCTGATTTTAATGAGATTGAGAATGTGTCTGCTCTGCACGTAGAACTCAATCAATTCAACACGGACACATGTTGTGCCACGGCATCTTCCATGGGTCATGAGTGAGTGAGTGAGTTAGGTTTAACGCCGCTTTTAACAGTATTCCAGTTATATCACGGCCTGTCAGCTTAATGTGGGAGGAAAGCCCGAAGTGATGCAGGTCTCAGACGTTTACCACTTCGGTGAAACCCACATGCACGGGTATGGTGCTGACAAACCTAGTAACATAATCGGGGCGAACCGGGATTCGAACCCACAATCATAGGTTTCTGGCGTGCCCAAGGAACGCAACTCTGCACAGCGAATCGCGGCGCCATAGACGACTGGGCCACCCGTGCCCCTCCATGGGTCATGAGCTGGGGTAAATAGTAGCGACAAAACCGTTTCCATGATCACAAGAATTATCTGCTAAAAACATACTCCATTGTACTCCCTTTAAGATTCCCTATCAAATAGAAATGAAACCAGGTTTAAACATATAATGGACAATTAAAATGAGTATCGGGTTTGTCGTTGCCGTTACGAATAGCGTAGTTGCTCGTGTTATCAACCACTGGTTTAAAGGTAATACGGCCGAAGTATCGCTGACTGCACCGGAAAACCTTCCCTCACCACACAACAGATGTACATATAATAAATCAAATACCAATAACAATACCAAAATAATGATGTCTCAGTAATATAATAGAAATTCGTGATCATACGTCGCATTACGACACAACTGTAACAGTTGTTGTATTTACGACTAGCTTTAATATGATCGATACCTCTGTCTGCAGGTGGTTCTCTATATTCTATATGTACTGAATAACTTGGTCTCGCAACATGCAAGCAGCGGGTGTTACCATCAAATCGATTCATAAGCTGACCAACCGTAAATCCTTAAATAAATTCCAGTTTGAATGTTTTCGGAAGAACCTCGTACCCGGTCGGGTAGCCTAGTGGTTAAGGCGTTCGCTCGTCACGCCGAAGACCCGGGTTCGAATCCCGACATGGGTACAATGTGTTTTCATGTGTTTTCGCTAATTATAGACACATCAACTTTCTGTTTGACTTATTTGGTTCTCATTTAATGTAATTATTTGAGATATTTGGCAAAAAGTGGTTTTACATCGATGTCAAGTTTCTTTTTTTGAAGAGTATAGATCAATGTCATGTGTAAATATTTCCAAAAGAAACATGACAGTTCGGGACATATTACTATATTTTATACAGACATGGAAAAATATCTTGCATACAAGAAGAGTGATCATGTTTGTTGTTTAATGCAGTACTCAGCAATATTCCAGCCATATGACGGCGGTCTGTCAACAACCGAGTCTGGACAAGACAATCTAGTGACTGACATCATGATCATCGATCCACGCAATTGGGGATCGATGGCATGCATCAGCCAAGTCAGTGAGCCTGGCCACCCGATCCTGTTAGTACCCTCTTACGACAAGCGTAGTCACCTGAGTGACAATGTGTTATAGTGTACATGACAAAGCCTAAATAACAGGACTCCTGGCATATAAGTTGAGCAGTCTGAATCAGGCAAAGTGAGAGAGTGATAGGAGACAAAATAAAGAAGATGTGGTGCTTCACTTTTTTTCCGTGTGTATAGCTAGTTCCCTTGGCTTTAATAAATGACATCTTCTTGTGTGTATGGTGCAAATACTGAAGATCATATCTTTCTGTACCCCTCACAAGTCACAACAGCAGAAACAGAACATGTACAGTCTTTGGAAGTAGTGTTCGGCATATATCCCATCTACAAACACACGTCAGAAGTGTACCAACTATGACTTTTTAAAGGCTACTCTTGGTTACAGTTAATTTAGTTATGTGTCATTTGTGTCCTGTTTCCTTTTTACTGATCGGACTTACGAAATATTTTCATAGATTTAGAATAAAAAATACCCATATTCCAATATTCTGAACTACAGTTAAGTCGATATTAACTGGCAAGCTATTTCCTGTGAAAGTACATCCGAGCCCTCTAGTGAATGAGGAAGTTTGGTATAATCCCCCAGTGTTTTGGGTGCCACCTTGATGTTGACCCACAAGGTACAAGGTACGGTGCTGACAAATCTAGAATCATAATCAGTTTAAATCTGAGATTTGAACCCAGTATAATCGAATTCTGACCTTCTAAAGGTATACAACTCTTTACATGGCCTACCTTGCATGACTGGTTCCCATGTACCACTTTGAAATGTACGGGGGAAATCTTTCCTAGAACAATTTTTTTTAAAATTAAACAACTTTTTTTCAACATGGCTTTATTTTATACATACATACAGTGGAATAACATCATATATACAACAAGATTGACCATGTAATAAAGTGTACATGGCAAAGTCTAAATAACAGGATTCCTGGCATGTAAGCTGATAAATCTGAATCAGGCAAAGTGAGTGAGTGAATATGAGGCTGGTTTGAAAAGTATTTCAGTTATATCAGCTTAATAAAGTAAATGTGGAATGGTATGCTGTTCTCAGACATTCACCACTTTGGTGAACAGGTAAGGTGACTTTCACCTCTGCCATGGAACGGACTTTCACCTCTGCCAAGGAACTGACTTTCACCTCTGCCATGGAACTGACTTTCACCTCTGCCATGGAACTGACTTTCACCTCTGCCAAGGAACTGACTTTCACCTCTGCCATGGAACTGACTTTCACCTCTGCCATGGAACTGACTTTCACCTCTGCCAAGGAACTGACTTTCACACCAGGAATCCTGGGATGATCAACATCATGATGTGGAAATAATTGTAATTACATCTTGATGACCTGAATATATCTTCATTCAAAAATAGCAAAGGAATTGAAAGATTTCATCATTTATCCTCAGCCTCTCTTTGGCAACTGTGATCACATGAACAGTGATAATGAAAACTTCATCGACTGTCTATGGCACTGGATTACTAATTTCACTTATCATGCTAATTGTCAAAATGAGTCGTTATCTGATCTGTTTAACACGAGCTGTCAGCATGCCTGCTTGAAAGCAGTCAAACACTTACAAACCTATGATCACAGCATTTTACAAAGGTCACAGTCCCCTGTTTACTTCACGGACTTGTCACAGTGAAACACATTGCTCAATCGACCCAAGTTGTTTGTGGAACAGCTTCTGTGGCATGATGTAATGTCCACACACACACACACAAAGATTTGACATTTATACAATTCTTTCTATGTGAGGTTTAAACTTCTTAATCAACCCTTGTAGTTTCTAGAGCCTGCTGCTGCAGTTAGTAAAGAACATGTACAAATGGGGTATATTTTTTTTTATCGTCCTTGACATGTAGGGCACAACATAGCTTATGACATGACATGCATGGCACTAAC